ATTCGATTCGTCTCGGTGAGGGGAATCGAATAGTATAAGTTTCATTCAATTCTGACTGCTACACCACGAGATATTAAAATTAATATACTTTTTTGCATTTTTACAAATAAAATACCTTTGTGACTCAGTGGTCCGAATCAGGCGATTCATATATCATTAGATTCCTCTTATTGAGAGGAATCGAATGGTACAATAATCACACAATTTGGATTACTGGATCACGAGATATTCATGTTTAAACCATTTAGATATATAGAAATATATAGAATCTCATAGTATTGTGACGAATTGGGAATATCTTGGGACCCTGTGATCAGAATCTAGCGATTTCTATACTATTCGATTCCTCTCATCGAGAAGAATCGAATTATATAAAAATCACTAGATTCTGATCATAGGATCCCGAGATATTCCCAATTCGTCACAATACCCTCTAGCACAAAAAAATCGCTTATTTTTTAATAAAACTTTAAACTAGCATATCTCGAGATCTAGTGATCTGAATCAAATGATTTTGGTATCAATCGATTCAGCTCAATGAAACGAATCAAATGATACTAAAATCATTCGATTTTAATCGACAGATCATGTGATATGTTCGAAATTTGTTAAATTCGTCACAATACCCCACTTTACCTTATGTTTAAATTATAATATTATAATAAACAATTGTATACTATATCTTGCAATAAAGCAAAACAATAAATTATTAAAAAATAAACTTAATAAAAAGCTCTCTTTTAGCGATGCCTGCTACAATGTCACAAATTTACGTCTCTTTAGAATTAGTTGCAATATTTGTGAACACTCTTTTTGTTGCAAAAGATATAAGACCCGTAGTCACAAGATAGAGTTTATGTATTATCATTCTTAGTAAAATGAATATTAAAATTAATGTTATCTGTATAATTCATATTACGTATAATTTTTAAAATTTATTTTATAATGGACTTATAGAATAGGTGGAAATAAACTTTGCCAATGATTTGTAATCATTAATTTTTAATACATTCACGCAATTTTAATTAGTTTTAATACCAAATTTTTTGTTTAAAAACTAAATTTCTATGTATGAGATTTTAAAAATTTGTTTTTTTACATTTATAAGTAATATTTGGACACCATTTTTATATAAATATCATGTATCTATCTCTAAATCTGTCAATAAATTGTTTTTCGAACAAATTTTAAGAAAATATTGACGAATTATTATGGCATGAAACTTTAAAAAGATCAACACTTGGATTACCGAAATCTTCTTAACTGTTAATCTTTTAATGTGATTTACGCATACCCCCCAACGTCATGTTCCCAAAAAGTACTTCAAAGAATTGATTTTCAGCCAATCATTTATGATGTCACTCTCGAAATAGAACACGTGAATCAAAGACTAACCTAATTAATTTTGTAACACAATCTCCAGACAATAAATTGCTATCTTAAATCATTTATTCGTTAATAATTCAGTAATTTCGATTTTAAACCTTTTTTCAAAATGAAAACTTTACCAAATGAATGCCTTTTTGAAATATTTAATAACTTTAGAAATTGTTATAGGTTCTTATTTTCATGCCTCCTTGTAAGTCGTCAATGGTGTAGATTTATTGTTCCAATATTATGGAACGAACCATTATCTCATTGTAGAGATAGAAGACTTATAAGAGTATACCTTTTATCATTAAATGCTGAGGAAAAAGCTCCATTGATTCCATTAAATATACCATTCCCAAATGGACCAGAATTATTATTTAAATACACATCCTATACTACATTAATAAACTGTTGTAGTTTACAAAGAGGAATTATAAATTGGCTTTGCGGTGAGGGGCATGAACCTAGTGACTTTTACGATTATTATGACATATATACAAAATTTGAGAATGTGGTTCCAACAGTAGAATATTCTTTAATTACAATGTTATTAAGAACAAGTAAGAAAATTAAGCATTTAAATTATGAACGAATTATTAGCAACGAAATAGTGAAGATATTTGTAGATGAAAACACTGCTATTACTACTTTGGATCTTTCTCATAGGCTTAGTTTTGAAGAAGTAAAGGCACTAGAAAGTGTTCTTTGTAAAAATGCTTACTTAACTTCACTAAAACTTGATCATTGTAATCTTGGTCCAAATGAAACGAAAATATTAGCAGAAGCGCTTTGTGAAAATACAACATTGTCCTCATTAAATGTTTCCGGAAATGTACTTGGTTATAAAGGAGTAAAAGTATTCGCAGAAGCTCTTATTAAAAACACTACATTGACCTCCTTAGATCTTAATTATAATCGAATTGATTTTGAAGGTGGGAAAGCACTTGCAGAGTCTCTTTGCAAAAATGTTACTCTAACCTCCTTGAGTCTTAAATGGAATGAGCTTGGCCCTAGAGGAGGTTATGCATTGGCAAAAGCTCTTTGCAGAAACACTACATTGACTTCATTAAGTCTTTATCATAATGAACTCGGTTTTGAAGGAATAAATGCGATAGCAGGTGCACTTTTGACGAATACCAGTTTAACTTCTCTGAGTATTGGATTTAATAAAATTAATTATGGAGAAATAGAAGTGATTGCAGATGTTCTTTGTAAAAAAACCTCCTTAACTTCTTTAGATCTTAGTAACAATCAACTTGGCTATGAAGGAGGAAAGACATTGGCAGATGCTCTTTGTAAAAACACTACTTTAACTTCTTTAAATCTTTACGGTAATCAATTTGGTTTTGAAGGAGCAAAAGCGTTAGCAGAAGTTCTTCATAAAAATACTGTTTTAACTTCTCTAGATATTGGATATAATAAAATTAATTTTGAGGGAATAAAAGTACTATCAGATGCTCTTTATAACAACACCGTTTTGACTTCCTTAAACCTTCGTGGTAATCAACTTACTTTTAGTGGGGTAAAAATATTAGCGGACACTCTTTGCAAAACTACCACTTTAACCAATTTAAATCTTTCTAATAATTTGCTTACATTTAAAGAAGGACAACTATTAGCAGAAGCTCTTAGCAAAAATATTTCTTTAACTACTTTAGATCTTAGTAATAATCGACTAGGTTATGTAGGAATAAAAGTATTAGTAGAAGCACTTTGTCAAAATACTACTTTAATTGATTTAAAAATTTATTATAATCAACTTACCTCTAATGAATATAAAATGTTGGCAAAAATTCTTTACAAAAATAATTCTCTGATTTCATTAGATTTGGGTTATTGGTTTTAATATATTTATGTAAATTTTATTACCTCGAAAGTTTTATTGGTAAATTCATTACATCAATGTATTATATTAGAATTTTGATTAGTCTTTACTATGTCAAGAATTAAATTTGTTTAATTTAAATAAAATACACGAGCACAACGATAATTTATAATTTTAATTAATCATTCGTTTATGTAAAATTTTGATTTAGGGTGTTCTCAAGCTACTCCCACAATGTGATTTCTGATTTGCTAGTGATTGAGATGATGTTCAATTATCACAGTTGATCGAAATAATGATTGCGATCGTTCTTGACCACCCTTAATTTATTCCATTATCGTTATGCCTTCAGCAAATCAAAGCGAAAAAAAAAAAGGTAACTATCCAACAAGAAATCGTAACTTCATTTTCAGTATCACTTCAACAGAAAAAATGTAACTTCTTCAGCAACACCAAGCGACACAACTTTTCCTTTTACAGACGAAGATTCATATTGTTGTTACAACAATAAATAGTATTCGCAGCTTTTTGCACCTTTAGCTTCGAACAAAATTAATGATGAAAATAACGAAGTATTTGAATATTAAAAAATATTCTAGTAAAAAATAAATAAAAAGATTGTTCTTTGGCTTCTAGGGATTTTTATTTGCGATAGGTGTTTTTAATATATGAGTCGTTACCACCACGAAAAAATCTGGAGGTGCTGACCATCTCATATTAACGCCGATTGACTAAAACCGCTTATTAATAGAATATAGAAAGAGGTTGTTCAAGCATTTTGCGAAATTTTACAAAAAAAAAAAAAAAAAAAAATTTTTTACAATGTTTCCATTGTTTTTATTTAGTGTCACAAAGTCGATTACACGCGTCAAACTTTATATCAAGTTTGCTGATATAAATACACTTTCACTCTTGTAAAACTTTCCGGAGAAAGTGATAGAGAACAATTAAGAATGATGACTTTCTATCAAAGGCAATGAAGAAATTTGTTGTTTATGGTTATTATAATATATATTGCAAAATATGCGATACCATAATAAGCTCAAAAGTATATAAATGCCATCATATCGTATATTTTGTAACTTTAAATTGAATATTACATTTGCTAGTTAACATTTAAAAGTTGTACGAAGGGACATTATCATTATGGGTAGAGACAATGCAGATTAGATACTGTATTATCGTGTGTCAATGCCTGAATTAATTAATTGCGGACCCGCGAGTAAATAAAAGAGTCTTGTGGATTATAGAAATTTAGTTGCACATGTTAATATTTAATCAAATCTATCGCTATAGGTAAATTTGTAAATTTGTGTGCAAATTTAAGTTGCAAAAATTTAGAATATTGTCGTGTTGTGTCTGCAAATTTCGGATTCAGTTTGATTGATCAGATAAAAAGTCGGTATACTGCTAAATATCCGTTTGTCGTGTTGATTCGTCCTTAGACTTTGAATGGTCCCGTTCATCTGGTAATTAAACTACTGAAATAACGCAACTTTGGAAATTAAGTCATTCTTATATGGGATAAAAAACCGAAATAGAAGAACGCATATATATTATGATTGACTTTATTAAATTAATAAATAAACAATTAAATCAATAAATAAAACATGTCCATTGGCTTATTTCTCATATCCTCATTTTAGCTTCAATTCGTGCCTTGTCTTTAAAATTGGTTTAAGCACGTCTTTCCAAAGAATCCCGACAGCATAAAAGTTACTAGACACTATGGTACGAAGTGCTTGGCCTATTTAAAAGTTTATTCAAGATTATAACATTTGCTATTATATAAATCAATATACACTCACATCGTTACGGCACGTATAAGTTGCGTTTCGTTGTTTGTGTCTTTCAATGCATGTTTTGCATAATCTAGCTATTTGATGCAATCAAGTAAGTTCTCTGTTAAAATGTGAAAATCTGTAGATGACAATTTACCAACATTTTCAAGTTCAATTTCGTTCTCATGCAGTTTTTTATCGACCATTTTCCAAAAATTATCCACACTTGAAGAAGTTTTCTCATATTTTTTAAAGAGAGAATGGGTATTAGTATAAAATAATTTAATTTTAAAACTGCTGTATTACTGAAGGACTAAACGTTATAGTAATAAAATGTAAGAGCGCCCAAGGGAAGGCGAAGTCCACTATCACTGGCCAAGGCGAAGTCAGCCAGCTACTCGGGGGTTGTCAATACGTCTCTTAATTTGTCTGGCGGTGACCGGAACGTATTCTAGCCTTTGAACGCATTGAATTACCCAATTCAAATATTGATTATACTTAACTTCAGAGTTAGCTAAACATTTTTCGCCTCAGCGTCAGGTAATTGCTCTAGTGAACCTTTGTAAAGTCGGTGTTCCTTTACTTTGTCATATGAAAGTCGTCCCTGTATTGCAAAAACTTTAATAACGACCAATTCGAATGTTTTGTGAAAAAATCTTATATAAATGTCTACTAAATAACGCGTACGCGACCATTCCTAACATTACTATTACTCTGTATCACTTATTGTATTATAAACGTCATATTCACAAAGTATACTTGTATCTAAATAAATTATAATCAAAAATATTAAAATA